GTGTATCAGTCCCTCTACACAACGCGTCTTCAGTGATACCAAGAATCGAAGTCATGACATGCTGGCCACGACTTCGTAATCAAAACCACTAGGCTACCGCGGTCATATATAGGGGTGGGAGGATAAAGCGAAGATCGAAAAAAGCTTGGATGGGATTGATTCGACGGTGAGGTGAGAAAGAGCTGAATTATATATATATAAATGAAATATTACAATATATACACATTGTTCTGCTCAGTAATCATTGCTTTTGGTTGTTTCGTTTGCAGAAAAATTTTATTCTGATTCTAAAATCATCTTACCAAAATTAAGTATTTTGCCATTTTTTTCGAAAATTCAATCTTTTTGTGGCAATATTAAATTTTGAAGTTCTTTTTTAAATTATTTTTCTTTTTATCTTCACATAATCACGTTGTATATAAGGGCATAAATAAGAGCTCTTTTTTTTCTTTTAATTTGCTCATTTAATTCTCAGGGGCAACATGGTCATTTTTCTATTCTTGTTTTCAGTTTGATGTTTATAATTTGCGAACTTTGGGTGCATTCGCTATATCATACATTAAACATATAATCTAGATTTTGAATTTTCTCGTCTTTCAAAGGTGTGGATAATTTTAAATCTAAATATATATAATTTTTTTGTAAATTGCAAAGCATGTCCCGTAACATAATACTTCAAATTATTATTGCCTTTTCAAAATACAGTCGGACCTCTATATAACGAAGTCTCTAAATCCCAGAAAAAGTTCGTTATATGGAAAATCCGTTATATAAAGATTCATCTTTTAACATACTTTATATATAAACCACATAAAACAAATTTTTAATTCATTAACTCTATATATTAAAAAAAGTAATTATTTACACCTTTTTTTAAATTAATATATGTTTATTTTATATATCTTACCCGTCAAAAAAAAGAAAGAAAAACTGAAAAGAAAACAAGAAAAAAGAATATCGAAGAATTCACTATATTTTCAATATGAAGAAAATAATTTTATAATAAAATTAATGAATTTTAAGGACGTTTTACACACAATTTAAAGCATACAAGTAATATTAAACATACATTATTTTATAATTAGAACATGGGGACACGGGACAACTCCACTGGGGGGTGAAAGAGGATATCGAAGATGTTTCTAGAGAACTGGGCAATAGGGGTTAAAGGTTGCACTTCTTAAATGAAACGTCCAGAACTCTATTGTTGTCGGCGAGTTAGGATCGAATAAAACCAGTTCAAGATTTATGACCTCCATAAAATGTGTTAAAGAGAGAATAACTTGAAATTTTTTCAGAAATACTTTAAAAAAAGGGAGAACAAAAATTGAATCACAAAAGAAAAAGTTCGTTATATAGAAAATGCACTTCGCTATAAAGAGGTTATTTTACGAAGAAAATCATGAAATGTTTAAGGTTCCAGTTAAACGTTCGCTATATAGAAAAATTCGTAATATAGAGGTTTGTTATACAGAGGTTCGACTGTACTTCAAAAATTAAAGGGGAACGCACGCGAAACCCAACATTTTTTACCGTAACTTTTCTAGAAAAATAATTTTTAAGAATTTAATTTTTCTAATAATTATACATTTCAAACATTCTCATGAAAATCGTTATCTTTGTTTATCTTTTTTCTCAATTTAATTAATTCTTATTCTTTTGTCAGTAAAACTAATATGAAGCAAAGTATTCTCAGCCAAATATTGTTATAATCTTACCCCACTAGAATTTCTTTATTAGTGGAATATACCGAGTGAGTGAATATTAACGTCGCACTGTTCAGCTACACGAGGGCGTTTGAGCTCTCGACAGATTTAACGTGCATCGTTCCCCTACGCAGCGGGTCTTTAGTGGTACTGGGATCGAACTCATGACATGCCTGCCATGATCCGATACCTTGACCACTGGGCTTCCGCAGTCCCATGGAACACACCAAAGCACATATCTTCCACATTATATTTTTTAATCCATCTATTCTTAATGGAAAAACTGAACTTTACACTGTTTCGATTGCTCTGTAAATGGGGAATGGGAACAAAATGTTTGAATGAATTTAAAATTCCAATTTATTGTAACAAAAAATTTTCAGCTTGTTTTTTTTTTCAGATTTGATAAACAGTTAAATTATACCTTTTTCCTTCATGTTTTCTGATTTGATTTTTTAACTGTTTCATTGTAAACATCTCCGAAATTAAAACAAGTAATATAAAAAAAAATAAGTTAATTCCTAGTTAGGTCAACAAAGAAAAACTTTAATTCCTTTTTATAAAAAAAATTAAAATTAATATAAAAAATGTACATACATATGACAGAATCACAATATTAAGGGACAAAATAGAAAGCGATTTTCCTTGCAGTTCTCCGTTTGCCTTTCTGTTTAGGATGTTGGGCTATTTTTTTTTTGTTACTGTTTATTCATTAATTAAATTTAATTATTCTAATAAAATAGTATAATGAAAAAAATCACATTCTCAGAAATTAGGCCATCCCAGGTGGGATTCGAACCCATGACTTTTGGATTAGAAGTCCAATGCGCTATCCATTGCGCTACAGGGACACAACCAACGATTTTCCTTTCTATATATGCCGTTGGACTATTATTTTTGTTTGTTACTATTTATTCATTTTTTAATTTAATTAATGAATTAGTGTTTGAAAAAACTGTATTAACATCGAGTGTCATCCACTACAAGTTTTAAAATATATATTTGAACTTGAATGGATGAATAGAAAGTATTTTTTTAACGACTGAAAATTTGAAGATATATATATATATATATATATATATATATATAGGCTAATTCTCTACAAACAAGAGATAACATCCAAACAATAACATTCGAAAAACACATAGACAGTAGGAAAATCACACAATGAAGAACATATGAGTAATCGAGATTAAAAATTATAAAATGGATGCTGCAGTGTTATAAACATTACTGACAGGACAGCTAATATATAAAATAATTTATATAAAAGTGGGGTTGAACATGTTTTTTGGCCAGCCAACCTTCCCCCTTTTATGTAAATAACACTGAGCAAAAACCAATAGAAAATAATGGATAGGAATTTCTAACTCCATTATAAGATAGAGGTAACTTACCTAAAAATTGCACTTACAAATGCAAAGCCCGCGCTAAATCTGAGTGCAATAAATAAGTTATTGCCAGATTCTAGACCCTAATGCAGATTTAAATCAAATGAAGGGCTGAAATGTAGCACTTAACAAATGTATAAAAAGAATGGAAATAAAAATTAATAAGAGTTGCAAATTATAGCATAACTTTAATAACACTAGAGTAAATATGAATAAAATAATAATAAGTAATGTTATCTAATATTAGATTATAGAGATAACTATAACTATGAAATATTTAAGTTTATTGTAATAAACTATTATCATTCTCAAAATTTTAATCCTAACTATTTTGAATGGCTTTATTCTTATAACTATTAATAAAATTAATTGGGTATTTCTGATTTAAGCAATATTTAGTAAAATGTTTATAGTTATTTATAATGTCTGATTTTTTTGACACCAGAAATTTATTACGTTGTATATAATTAATAACAATATTTCTGAATATAGAAACATGTACATTACTCTCCCAATGAGGAACTTTTATAATATTGAAATTAAATTCTTTTCTTTTATCATAAATATTAGAAACTATTACATTATCATATAATTTGACATGTATGTCATGTATATATATATATATAGGGAGAGAGTGAACTAACAGTAGAGAGAGAGAAATTGAAAAAAACTCACGCACACATTTGTGTATATATATATATTCGTATTAAATTTTATCAGTTGAGATATTCTGTTTGAAATTCTATCTTCTGTATGTTTTCCCTGTTGAGTTATATCCTCTATTAATATTCAGAATGTAACAAGAACTCAATCATGATACATATAAGCTAAAGCCTCTGAATCCCAACACTGTCCATCCATAGATAATTTGATAACTCCCCATAAGCAATCGACCTCCTATACATGTTAATTGCCAGTCAAAAATATTCAGTTATCTCAAATAGCTCAATTTTCTTGACTTCAATTATGGTCTTCAATTACAATTTAAGTGGACAAGCCGTTTTATAAAAGAGTGCGACAAATCTTTTTTCCCCCTCTCTCTCTCTCTTATGTTTTCGCTTACGTGAATTAAGTTACGTGCTTGCTCAAGGCAGGTGATTCCAAGGCCAAGGATCATTAAACTAAAGTATGTGTTTATACCGCCGTGGTTAAACAAATTCTATTGACCATTAAAGCTGCTTAGACATTCGCCCTTTTATCAAGCGTCTTTTTTTATTAGATATATGTCTTCCTAACGTACCGTGAGTAATGTGCAGAGGCAGGGTCATCTCTTTTAGTCGTCAGATAAAATTTCCTCTCTTCTTAGAAGCAATTGAGGGATATTGTTGTGAACTGTGAAAAAGGGAATTGAAAAAATAAGAAGGCTGAAAAATAGGTGGCATTGATACAAACAATGGAAGTTTTCATAGTATCATAGTTTTATTTTATTATTGTTACTAATAATTACCCGCCCACTTCGCTGTGTATTTCATGAGGATTTATGAGAATATATACTATTTATATATATAAATTATTATTATAAGTTTTAGCATTAAGCGTTCTATTGTATTGAAAAGCATTCTTATAACTCTCACCTCTTTATTTTTAACAAGTAATATTAAAAAAATAATTTAAGTCAGCTCCTACTTAGGTCAATAAAGAAAAATTTTATTTTAGTCACATTTTATTAAATAGTTACAATTACTATATATAAAAAAGTACACACATATGACAGAATCACAATATTAAGTGACAAAATAGGAAACGATTCTGTGTTTTCCTTTCTATAATATGATGTGTGTGTGGGTGGATGTGTTGGACCATTTTTTTGTTTTTTTTTACAATTTATTCATTAATTAAATTTGCTTATTCTAATAAAATAGTATATAGTAAAAAAAAGGAATCTCATTCTCAGAAATTGGGCCGTCCCAGGTGGAATTCGAACCCACGATCTTTGGATTAGAAGTCCAACGAGTAATCCATTACGCTACAGGAACACAACGATCAATTTTCCTTTTTATATATGGTGTTGGACTATTATTTTTGTTTGTTACTATTTATTCGTTCTTAAATTTAATTCATGAATTAATATTTTTAAAAAACTGTATTAACTTCAAGTGTAATCCACTACAAGTTTAAAAAAACTGTGTTTGAACTTGAGTGGATGAATAAAAAGTACTTTATTAACGATTGAAAATTTGAACAAGATATATATATATAAATATATATACCGTGCAATCCGGCGAATAACGCGCACTTTAAACACAAAAAATAAGATTGAAATTTCCGGGTGAGCATTATACGCTGGGTATAAAAATGATATCTTAAAAAAAGAGAGAGAGAGAGAATCATAGGGAAAAAAAATTAGATTGCTACATAGATCGAAATACTGTTTATTTAAAAGAAATGGCATTCCTGATGAATTTAAAGGGTTGTAGTTGTGGAAGTATACTATGCTTGGCATAATACGACGAATAAATGACTTCAAAATATAAGAGCATTGTGCACATACATTTCAGGTTTCTTCGTAAAAAAAAGGGTGTGAGCGTTATACGGTGAATAGACCTAAAAATTATATATAAAAATTGCAGTTTGAAAGTATAAGTGCACGTTATACACCGGATTTTTACGGTATATAGGGAGAGTGTGATCTAATAGTAGGAATTGAAAAAAAACAGAACTTGAATTTCTAAAATTGAAGTAGAATTATATTTACGTTACCGTAACCTCCTCCCCCAAGTGGATTGCCACAAAACACATTTTTAATGGATATCTACTTAACAAAATATATAAATATGCTTGAGACAAATCTCAAGTCTAAGTCTAATAGTTCAAAAACGGGAATTTTTTTTTTATGTCTATGTGCTCCCAACCACCCTTCAGAGTCGATTTCTGAAAGACCAGTTCTTAGCGTATTTCAAATCAGCAAAAGTAAAATGCATACCAAATTTCGTTACTGTAGGTCTAGTAGTTCTCAAAAAGGAATTTTTTTATCGATACACCCCACTAACTCCCCGCTCCCCCCATAGGAGTCGATTTCCGTAAAATCCGTTCTCTCTCTCTCTCTTAACGGATGTCTATTCAACAAATATATATATATATACACCAAATTTCGAGTATGCGGGTCTAACAGTTCTAAAACGAGAATATTTATCTTTTACACCCCTTAAGCTCTCGCAACATCCCTTGCGAGCCGATTTTCACAAAATCCGTTCCTAGCGGATCCCTACTCCTTAAAAGAAATATGCCGGCCAAAATTCAAGTCTGTAGGTCTAGTAGTTCCTGAGATATGATGAGAAAATGAGTGAGTGGCTATTCTTCTTTATATATATATATATATATATATATATATATATATATATATATATATAGATTTGTTATTATACATTCAGGGTGTCAGGGCTTAAAGTATCCAAAAGTTATGGCTTATTATTACGGAACTCCCTGTCAGAATGTAACAAACTGTTCCCCTCCGTGGATTGAAAACCCCTCCGAGATTTTTTGGGTCGACTATTACTTTTTTGTTGAATGTTGTGTTTGTTATTATCGTTTGTTTAATGCACAAACAATATTAAAAATGAAAAAGATTCTTAAAGTTCTTTCAATTAGTAGTTCACAAAAGAATACTTATAATTTACCATTATAATCTAATTATAACTAAATATTGTATCAAGCATTTCTCAAGAACACTGCTTTTTATATACAAGTGCGAGTGCAAAGATGTCTTTTAGGACAGCTGAAAACATATGGAACGAAAAAAACTCAGTGAAAACAAAATATCGTTTCTACCGTCTAAACACAGGTGATGTCCCTGATTCAAAAGTAGAACAGCGATGTTATGGGATATTTATCATGTATTGTAAAATAATTTGTTTGTAGGTCGTGGGATACTTTTGTATTAAAGGAAGAAAAAATTATTCCATTCATGCAACATAATAATAAAATACGATAATGAATGAATTTCGATAGTAAGTTATGGCATCGCATAATAGAAGGTCACATTGTTTTCTACGTCTGTTTCTTATGTAAATAAATCGTATTATGTTCATTACCTTTGTTTATAGTTTAACTGAAATATAGTGAACATCACATATTTTTTATTCGTCATAAAAAATGTTTACTAATAGTCTTAAATATAAAATAATAGTAATATAGTAGATAAAGGTTACTAATAAATTTGTAATTCTGCAAAATATAGAACTGTGAAAGTTTTTTATTGTGCTATTATATCTGCTCGAATTTTGAACATTGCAGCCTTATTTGGAACCCTTGTTAAAAAATAAAATCGAATTTCTTGAAAAAGTTATAGAATAAGTTCATAAGTTATTTGTTTTATAGAAGAAAAAAAATATTTTTTATTCACAGGATTTATCCTTCTTTCATCTGCGCAAATTTTTTAATATTCCAAGTTTGAAATCATGATGAGGTTTTTCTTATGTTCTTTATTTTTTTAAAAGTTATCAAAATAGTATAATTCACTGCATTGATATTTTAAGCAGTATTCATTTTTCTGTACCAGCGATAAATTTGAGAAATAATTCCTTATTTGAGGAGATAGGCTTATCAGATGTATTGGTATTTTTCATCATACTTACTTTACTGTTATAATTTCTTTATAGGTAAATACTTAGTATAGGTTTTATAATATTTTTAACAAATTTCCTGAAGAGCTTGACATTTTTAATGTCTTTTAATGCTTTCAAATGTAAAGTTTTACGGTTGTCGAACACTTAATAAACATATTTTGTTTTATTAATGTTTTTAGTGTATTGTTTTTAATGTGTTTGTTTCTTCCTTTATACGTGTTTTTGTAACTTCTATATCTTTTAAATTGTGTAGAGTGAAATTTTGTGGTTCTTGCTGTTCGTTTTCCTGCCATACCCTCATTAAATGGAGTTTATTCTATAGCAGGGTTCGCGCCGTCAACCTATGGCACGCATGCCACATGTGGCACGCGGTACAATGCTGAGTGGCACTCTGCTCTACTCTACCAATTCATCAATTTTTGAGTGGTTGGAAGTTGATAAATTTCCAATGGACCTTATTTGGCAAATTATCTTTAGAATTATGGACATTTACGGAATTGCGATAAAAAAAATTAAATTTTGCATTATAAGCAAAATAGTCCAAGACGTCACTAATGCAATAATTAAGAGACAATAACAAACGAATGTGCTCCCCGCAGCCCCGCGACCGATTACTCGCGTTAGTTCGTAATATTTCGTAGTAAATTTTGTTATTTTGGAATCAAATGCAAACCTTTTGATCACTGGCGTGCCCAAAATATTGTGTCACGTGCCATTGATGGCACGCGTGCCACTGGTTCGCCATTCCTGCTCTATAGTAACCATTTCCTTTAAATAAATACGTAAAATATATTCGACTGTAAAAATTAACAATGACGTGTTTTTTTTCGGTAAAAAAATAAAATATGCATATTTTTCAACAATACTCATGTAAGGGTCTATATTTTTTGAATAGATAAGAATTTTGAAATTCATTTACTCCTAAAAACTACTTATTAAAACTCCTTGCAAAGTCTACTTATTAATAATGTCAATAAGTAACATATTTGACTTGAAACTTTATTTAAACTATCGTTTGAAAAAAATTTCTACAAGAAAGTGAAGCCATTGTAATGCGCGAAAAAGTTTAGAAACATAAAATAATTCACCGCAAAATGGCATCTAAAAATGAATTATTTACATAAACAAAAAAACATACACCCACGTTCCTGTTGATAAATTGCTATTATTTCTCACGGATGTAAAATTTTTTAAGAATATACAGAGCATAAAATTACGTATAAAAAAACAATTTCACGAATGATGAACTTTTTTGGAATCATATTTTATAAAGATAAAAATAATCTATAAATAACCTTCTTCAAATTATATAATCACATTCGATCTCTTTCTATTTCAGAACTCATAAATTTTTGAAGCGGAGTTCCCACACCCGGATCTTAGCTATTGGCGGGTTCTTTTTATCCATACCTCTGTTCTTCACAGGTAAAGAATTATTTTTACATTCAAAATTATAAATGATGAATAATTTTTTTAAATGAATTGAATTCTTTTTTAAAAATATAAGCTTTTATTTTTCAAAAAAAATTTTAAAAACTTGAAATAAATGTAAGGTATTTATTTTAGAAATCTCATAGATATATATATAAATATCCTTATTCATAAAAAAGACGTGAAAGATAAATGTATTTATTGAGACACACAAAAAAGTTCAATCATGTATTTTCTTATTTATTCAATCATGTATTATATGTGTTGCTTTTTCCAAGTTTTTACAACTTTATGCTTTGAACTGTTATTTTAAATATTTGCCTAAAGTCCTATTTAAAAAAAAAGAATTTCGACCAAATGCAGAAGTCATAGTAGATGCAACAGTTATCAAAATATTCATACATTCATTAGTAATTTAATTCTCATAATCCTAGGGATTTTCATATTATTTACCGGTCTATTTTCGAAATTTAAAGAACTTGTTAATGCATTGTTAGAAATTTCTATTCTGTTTTCCATTGAGATAAAAAGAAGTTTAGAACCTAATAATTTTTTTCTTAAGATATAGGGACGAGAAAAAATAATGCCACAAATATTCCTTTTGTCAAATACATTTCATGTAAACAGGGATGTTTTAAGGCATTTAGGCAACTGAGCCTGAGTCCAGGGCCTTCAAGAGGGGGATCGTCTCGTTCTCGACCTCAGTAACGTCCTAAATCGAATAATTTTAATCCTCAAATGTTGTTCCTATACCGTGTCTTGGTTTATACCTATCGCCATACACATTCATTTCTCATTTAGTCGAAAGGAAGTTTGTTTCCAAGTTTGTTAGATTATGAGTTGCACACATTTGTTTCTAACGGGTTACTATTTGTACGAGTGTTTAACAACGTATACCAATGCTTCTCAAACTTTCAATGTTTGCGACCCAATATTCAACCGTAATTTTCATCTCGCTCCCCCCTCCATACAAATAACAA